CCGTCCGCCGCTCGTTCTCCCCGGGCCCCGGGCGCAGGACGCCGCCCTCAGCCGCGGACGGCTTGCGGGCTCCGGACTGATCCGCGGCCCCCACCGCCTGCCCACGCCTCTGTCAAGCTCTGATTGCAGACGTTTTTCACACGAGTTTTCTTCCAAAGTTGGAATAATTACTCCTCTGATGTGAAATACACATAGAATTTAAGAATGGACAGCGTCGGGGCTGGGAAGCTGCTCAGTGGTAGAGCGCTTGCCTTGCATGCCTGAGGCCCTGGGTTCCATTCCTCAGCACCACATAAGCAAAAAGGAAAAAGCCGGAAGTGGCGCTGTGGTTAAAGCGGTAGAGCGCTAGCCTTGAGCTGAAGAGCTGAGGGACAGCGTTCAGGCCCCACAACTGGACCCCCCCCCCAAAAAAAGTCCATGAGACTTATCTCCAATTAACCACTAGAAAGCCAGAAGTGGTGTGGTGCTGTGGCTCAAGCAGTAGAGTGCTCTCCTTGAGCTGAAGAGTGCAGGGACAGCGCCCAGGCCAGGATTTCAAACCCTATGACCGACAAAAAAAAAAATTATAAACAGGTTCTTGCATTATTCCTACCTATTCAAGAGTCTGAGATCTGAGGATTGTGAGGCTGAGATCTGAGGATCATGGTTTGAAGACAGCTCTGGTAGGAAAGTTCATGAGACTCTTATCTTCAATTAACTACCAAAGGCTGGTAAAGTGGCTCAACCATAGAGCACCAGCCTTGAACTCAAGATCTGAGGGACAGTGCCCAGGCCCAGGTTCAGGCCCCACGACCAAACAGGCATGCACGTGTGTGTGTGTGCACGCACGTGTACACACACACACATTATCCAAGGACCACACTGAAAACTCCTGGTCTGAGTCACCCTGTGTCTCTCCAGGCTCTTTTTCTGACAAAGGTAGTTGTGCTTTACCAAGGCTGGCAGAGGTGTGCAAGCCACAGGGGGGCTGTGCAGAGAGGACTAAGGAATTCACATCCCTTCTCAAGCCTCTGCCTGGACTGCGGGGCCCACTTCCTCACACGCGCTGTCCCTCACAGAGTGCCAGCTCCCTCTGTGCCATGGCAGACCTAGCTGGGCCTGGCAGTGCAGACGCTGCAGGGCCTCAAGTGGAGAGGACCCATTTCCAAATACTGCTGCCCCCTGGCTGGGGCAGAGCACTGCCCTGTGCGCTGTCTTCACCTCGGAGGGCCTGAGGCCTGGGCTTGGCCCTCGGGGCCATCTGAGCCACTGTGGGGACCTGGCTGCCAGCACGTTAAGTGAGGCAGAGCCGGACTGAGTGTGCAGGGGCTCCTCCATCTGCCCACAGACTCTTCACTGCCTCAGTTGACCTGCACCTGCTGCTCAGCCTCACCTGACGCTCACACGCTGGCCCTATTTCTGTCCACTGAATTGTGACCTCCCCATTCCCATGTAGCCATGTTCCTCTCTAAAGGGCTCTGCAGCTTGCCTGATTGCACAGCCTCACTCCGCTCTTCTCAGATGCCCTGTGTGGCACACACATGCCACCGGAACACCCTGGCTTGCACAGACCAGGCCCTATGCTTCACGCGCAGTGTCTCCCCTCAGAAAACTGGCTGAAGCCGGGTTCTCCCAGGTAACCGCCCAAGGGCGCGACTCGCTCCCACACACAGAGCCTGTCCAGAGCACTTGACACTCCCGGAGTGAACCTGACTTACTGCCTGCAGTGACTTTTCACAGCCCTTTAAGAGTTGAGGTTTTATTTTTTGCCAGCCTCAATATTCTCATCCTGTGAACCTTAAAGGCTGTCTTACTGGACCATGTTGTCTGCATTTCTGGGTCCAATAAATTGTATAATTTTGGTGTTCTCAGAGCCGTTCCCAGACAGCTCTCTTGTCTTTCTGGCCCACCCCCTCCTTTCCCTGCCATTTGAGAGCAGGATTTTACCAGGAAATGGATGCTTCTGGGCATCAGGTTCAGAGTCGTTGGCCTGAAGTCCTCAGCACTAAGGTGGAACTTTTTCCAATCAATGATCCTGTCCAGGGTCTCCTTTGCATCCTATAAGTGCTACTCTCCAAAGCAGACTTGTGGTAGGTGACCAGGCTGCCCTTAACGACGGTCTCCACCCCTTTGTGCCTGTCTTCCCCTGGACCAAGGCAGGGGTGCTGGCTTCTCTCAGCTCCTCGGGGAAGAAAGGCCCGGTGCTGGGTGCCAGCTACTGGGATGACAAACACCACGACAGCAGAAATGTGAGTGTGTATTCCTCTCAATGATCAAGATCACTGAAGCCAGGCAACAGTGGCTCGCACCTGTAATCCTAACTACTCAGGAGGCTGAGATCTGAGGACCACACTTGAACAGCAGGAAGCAAGCAGGATGCTGGGACTGGGTGGATGTGATGGGGACGTGGTGCCGTTGTTCAGAAGCCAGAACAGGAATGAATGGTCATTCTCTAGGATTATTTTGCCCCACTATCCCTGGGGCTGGAGTAGCCACAAGTGCAGTGAGGAGTCAGCTGGGATTAAAAAGGAAGAAGTGTAGACACCAGGCTATTTAAGGAGCACTTAACAGTGCTGAGTTCATCCTTCATCAGGCAGAGGAAAGGGCGTGTGCTTCCTGGTGGGGACTGCCACCCCCTGCAATTCAGGGCATCGAATCTTCATGGCCTCACTTAGCTCAAACCTGCCGCAGGCTGATCTCAGTCAAGGCCTCTGTGATTTTCAGTCAGAACACAGACAACTGGAGGGAAACTCATAGAGCCTAACTACGGGGTATTTACCCCAAATACCGGCCTGAGGAGCATTATGGTTATGCTTTGCACACCTGGAGTACTGAGAAATTTGGCTGGGGTAGACTCCTGATCCCACCGTCTCCCAGAAGGGCAGCTGCCTTCTCTTCCCCAGGAAGTTTCTGAACTGGAGCTTGTTCCTTGTGAGAAGTCAAGCAACGCAGGTAGAGTATGTGTAAAAGGCTGTGACCTGGGCGAGGCTCAGAGCGAGCTGGAGCAGACAAGTCCAGGGCTCTTGATTAACCAGCACACTCATGTTTAGGAGTGGCTCAGGTGGTGGAGTTTCAGCCAGGAACCAGACATGCTAAGGGAGCGGCCCGAGTTCAAGCCTCGGGGCTGACTGGGCTTCAGGGACGCCTCTCGGCGCTTGCCTGCCTTCCTGAAGTTGGGACTCCATCGTCCTCGGGTGGTTGTGTGTCTATAAATACCCTTCATCCTTCTCCCCGTCCGTGTGTGTGTGTGCACGCGCGTGTGTGTGCGCGTGCGTTCGTGTGCGCGCGCACGCGCGCTTGTGCACACTCAGGGCCCAGGCGCTGTCCCCAGCTCTGCTCAAGCAAGCGCTCTACCACTTGAACCACAGCTTTGGAGATGAGAGTCTCACGGAGTTTCCTGCCCCGGCTGGCTTCGAACTGTGATCCCCAGGTTCAGCCTGCAGAGCAGCTGCAGAGCAGAGGAAGAGGGAGGGCGGGGAACGGGGAGGGGGGCGGGGGAACGGGGGGGGGCCGGGGTCTGCGCTCCAGGCCTCCAGCTCGCGCCCCGCCCTTCTTCCCGCCCAACCCGTCCCGAGGACCCGCCCCACGCGTCACCCAATCCCCGAGCGGGCCCGCGGCGGGCGGGGCGCCCCTCAGCCAATCCCCGCGACGATCTCCGCAGCAAGGTCACGCCCCTTCCCGATCACTACCCAATCCCCGTCCGAGCCTGCGCCGGCCC